CATGTTGGTGTTCCTTGCTCCAAAACTTTGAAAAACAGATTTGGATATGGCCTGTTGAGGCATCTGGGTCTTTGTATGGACAGTGCACTGTACGCTTTACTGTTGTTTTAAGGAGGTTTTTTTTGCTTCTGGGACAATGTGTGCTCATATTTAGTCTATTTAATTTATTGTTTTGGTTGTGTGTGATTTAATTAATTTATTATAATTTCATTAATTTGTTTTATTTATTATATATCATTTAATATAATTTCACATTTCATTTGCAATGTTGAATGTTCAATCAAAAGTTCTGTTTGAAAGGATGTACTTGAATTATTATTATATATTATCATTATGTCAGTGGTCTAAAATGGTATTACAACGGTGCCGACAATATTATCGTTTATCGCAATCATTTCCCGAAAAATGTATCGTCCAACAAAATTAATTATCTTGACAGGCAAATTAATGTAAAACAATTTCTTCTTGACAAGTTGTTCTGATCGTAAAATACTATATTGTTCATTTCCGGATACTTGTGATTAAATGTGGTGTGCCTTGTAATGCACATGTGGTAATGATAAACTGAGGCATAATATCTTTTCCTGAAAAAATGTCAGGTAGTTCATAGTTCATTAAATGTCAACATTTTTAGCACTAAAACAAAAGGGAGAATTTGGAGTTGTTGTTATTTACAGGTTATTATGCTGTGATTCTACTGCTCCGGCCCACTTGAGATTCAATTGGGCCGCATGCTTAACAGGGAGCTGCGTCTGAGTTCACCTCCAGTCGACGGATGATCTCCTTCAGCGGCAGGGCGGTCTCCGAGCCTCCGATGAAGGTGGTGGTTGGCAGCCGGAACACCTTTTCCAGGTCGGACTCATCCAGACCGTAGAAACCTATATGTCCCATGATGCACCAAAAGGACGGAAGGGGAGTAGAGGGAGGGAAGGTACAAAAAGAGGGAAGGAGGTGAGAAAAGGTTGCAGGACAGGGCAGAAGGGAGGGACACCAAAGAGATGGACAGACACACAAACAAGGCCGTGGACAAATGGAAACATGCAATTTATGAGTAAGTCATGAAGAAATGTGCATTATAAAACACAATATGGAGAATGAGACATTATCCCAAACATGCAGACAGGAGAGGAAAGAAGAGGACAGAGTGGAGAGTAGTGATGGAGGCAGTTTGACAACAAGGAGGGTGGGGATGGTAGGGATCAACACAAATGAGTGGAAAAGTAAGGAGACATAGTTAGTATCATTCATTAAAGCTAATCAAACATCAGACCTGAAGGAGCTCAGGATTAGCCTGCTTTATGCTTCATCTTTATGTTCTCAAATATTCCCCAAGATATGAACTATTCCCTCTTTCTTTTTTTCAGATAGACAAAACAGTGCCCAGCTGTTTTAGGAAATCAATCACACTTATAAATAAAAGCAACTGAAAGATTGTGTAAAGATCTTTTTCTTTAGTAGGAACCATTTGGCATGGAGCGACTGTAAGAGCCGCAGGCAGGAAATGAGAGAGGGACAAACGTGTTGGGTTTGATGAGATTTCGTGAGAACACTAGAAAAATAGTAAACTGTGTAGTTTGATTAGAGCAAAAGCAGTATTGATAGATAAACATGACTACACTAAAATGTCAGCTCAAAGGAGGTTCAACTGGAGTTAACAAATAAGCAGCATCAGTATATAATATTCAACCCCTTGAATATGTCTACTAATTCCTTTGACACAATGCACATTGGGGTGTGGATAGGTTTTGAAACTCCTGGGGGCAAGAACAACAACATAAATAAAGTTATTCTTGTGATGCAACGGAGTTTTTATAAACTTTAACATTTGATATGGTAGTTAATGGCAAGAGGCAAATCATTTATTTGATCCTTTTGAACTGTGCTATGAATAACACATATTGTCAAATTGAAAGTTAATGGTTTGTCCCAGTCTTTGGTGTCCATTGCCTGTACAAAGTATTTTCAATCCTGTTCAATAAGCCACTAACACCAACATGGCTATAACCTTAGCATGTTTGACTTTCAAAACAGGAGAACAAGTATTCAAAGAGGGGAACTTCCCTACAACTCTGGTCTTGTAAGTGCATCCCAAACAAAACACACAGCTTCAGCAAAAGAGGAGGTTATGACGTCACTAACTCATCTTAAGCAGGGGTAGTGTGTGTATTTCACAGTTTTATACTTTTGACTACAAACAGGCTTTACAAAAAATGTAGAATTAACTTTGAAATGTATAAACATCTTAACACAATTCTAACAGGATGTGGACCACCATTCCTTCGAAATAAAGAAGGACTGCAGAAGGGGAGAGACAATGCCTCTCTTTATAACAGAAAGTAAAAGAAGTTCCAAACACAGAGCAGCAATGTGTTCATGACAGCGGCGATGAACATTGGGGGGGTTATGGGTGTTTAATTGGTTATTTCTTAACTTCAAACTGATTATGGGATTATTAGCGGAGGATGTGTTATGAAGGAGAGAAGAAAAGAAGGAGAGAGGAAGTAGAAGAAGTGTTTTTTGTATTTGTGTTGGGCAAAATAGAGTCTTGGACCCAGGTTAAACCTGTGCACTGTAAATGATCCTTAACTCCATGGACGGGACCACCTTAAGGTGCTGTAAAGGTTGGCTTTATTTGCCGACATCGCACGTCCTCAAATGTGGCAATTGCAAATGAAACGAGGCAGGTCGTGCAGCCCTTGTATGAAACTCCTCAGAAACACCACAAGTCACAAACCAACAACGGGGCTAACAGCCAAGCTGGCCAATCAGAAAGCTCCGTCTCAAAGACAGCAGGCAGATGGATCCAGCTCAGGCTTGCATTCACTATCCTCACCTCTCCCCCCTACAACCTATTCACAGCTGCCTATTAGGGCCATCATAGGTCAAATTAAAATAAAAACTTAACCTGAGAGGGGGAGAAAATATGTATGTAGTGAAATCATATTTCATCTTATTTTGGGGGCGGTTTTGGCGCAGTGGGCTAGAGCGTTGGTCCTCAGATCAAGAGGCATTGGTGAACACCAGTTCGAAACCCGACTTGGCCTCCACTGCGTCAGGCCGTTGTGTCCTTGGGCAAGACACTTCACCCTAATTTGCTCCTGTGGGTATTGTCCACAGTAATGACTGTTACATGTGTAATATGTAAAGCGCTTTGATCACTGGGAAAAGCGCTCTAATAAAAATGTAATGCATTATTATTATATTTGCAAATAACGTGACATTGATATTCTCTGAGATTAAAGACATTTTACAAAATGAAAATTCAGATTTCTTTTGGAATTTGTTTATCCCCATGAATGTACCACTTAATATCAGAGAATATCCAGGGTTTTTAGACATTACCCCCGCTCTCTTTATTCATTTGTATTTTGTGTTACCTATATTGGCCCCAATATGCCGCCGTGGAGGGGAGAAGAGGAAATCCAAAGCAGGACGACACGCTTCTTTTCTTAAAAGGCATTTTCACAAACAGACACAAAGTGAGTTTCCGATGTGTACCGCTCTGTCTGCAGCCGACACTAAACTGAGAGCAGTAGTCTGACTCTGGAACACAACAACACTCATTTTACTGAAGTTTCTCAGGATAACAGATTCACAGCTGCAGGGCTGAGAGGAACCATTTTAATTTATGCTAATTTCATAATTTCATGAGCTGGAAATGAGTGCAGCCCTGAGCGGTTATCTCCAACCATCAAGCAGGATGTATAGAAGACAATAATACCTTCTGCAGGAGCAAACTAACTGATAACTCTCAGTTATCTGGAGGCAGCCAGCTAGAAACCAGCTGGTGATTTGTAGGTGAGATAAAAGCAGTGAGGTATAGAAGCCCATTTCCGCCAAGAAAAAAAAAAAAAAAAAGGATTTAGCCTTGTATTAAAAATGTATCTTATAAGTCATTATAATGAGAAACTCTCAAAAATATTGATTTAGTTACTAAAAAAAACATGAAGTTTCCTTATTTATTTGACCTTTTAGATATGTTTTATTATTATACAATACCAAGTCATTCTTACGAGATAATAACTCATTATTTTGAGATACCGAGTCATTATTTGTAAATGCTTTCGAATATTATTCTGACATGCAAAGTCATCATTATAAGAGACAGGGTTCATACACTTTTTCACCAATGATTTTCAATGACTTCTCCATGACCTTTACCTAATTTTCCATGACCAAAACAATGACTCTTTCTCAGCGGTACCACTGAAAATGGTTTATTTGAACATGGAACAGGAAAATAAGGTCTGAAACATGTTGTGCCTATCTAAAACAAATCAAATAGTAGGCTTACTAGCTTCAGCTAAAGCAACTCAAATCTCTCACCAGCAAAATACCTCGTCAGTTAAATGCCATTTTACATTTCCTTACTATACGATAGAGCAAGGGTGCCCAACCAGTCGATCGCGATCGACCGGTCGATCGCGGGGAGATTCCCAGTCGATCGCGAGATGTGTCTAAAAATAGAACAACAATATTCAGTTGTATCGTTAATGTCCTATAACATAATCTTCCTGTGCCAGAATAATGCACTTGAACGCATCAAAGCTTTGTGATTGGCCGGCGTGACCCCATGTGTCGGGGCGTGGCTGGTGAGCAGTGGGCAGTGCACTAGTTCGCTAACGTTGTCCGTGTCAACAGGAGTGACAGTCCGCATACACACAAGACCGCAATTATGGCAGAAGCAAAACATATATAATTTTCACTCCGAGTGGGAGGATGATTATTTTTGTATCTATTCCAATTCAAAGTCCATCTGTCTCATCTGCAATGCGAGCGTGGCTTTATCGAAGAAGGGTAATTTAGGAGCGGCATTTCAAAACAGTGCACAAACGCTACGAGACGGAATTCCCTCCTGATTCTGCCCTACGCTCCAAAAAGGGGAGGGGCCTGAAAGGACTGCTAAATGCACAGCAGTCCATTTTCACCAGGCCCAACAACAAGAGCAAGGCTGCTACCAGAGCATCTTATCGTGTCAGTCACGTTCTTGAGAAACACATGAAGTCTTTCAAAGACGGCGAAGTTGTGAAAGAAGCATTCCTGGAGGCTGCCGATGCGTAATAAAAATAACAGTAGCATTTTCAACAGGTTTTTGATATAATAAAAACTCAAGTTATATACCGTTATTAATCAGCTGTAAGTTTGAGTTTGTTTGAACTTATTCATTATAATTATTGTACAAAATGGTATAAGAATGCAAACTTAAATTTATTATAATCTATTATCAATTCAGGTTAAGAAACTAGTGTTACTTGCATCCTATTTTAAAGGCATTTCTTTTTATAATCTACTAAAATGCAACAAAAAAAGGGTTTGATTCTATTAATTTTGTCTTTTTTATTGTGTAGCTTCAGATCTGAGTTGTCTTATTAGTAAGCCTAATTTATACTTTTGTAGCAACACTATTTTTATATAATGGCAAAGAAAGGGTTCAGAGTATTTTCTTTTTTTCCTGTGTCATATGTGGCAGCACTGTTCAATGTTTCTTGAAAACATTACCCACTGTAGTGACGTGTGAATAAACTCCAACTCTGTATCAACAACACTGTTGTGTAACTTCAGTTAAATACTTGTATGTGTGTAGATTAGAAAGAGGTAAGATAAAGGATCTGCAGTATTTTATGAAGTATTAATCGTACAAAGGTCAGTTTTATACAAGTAGAAGTGTGTATTTACCTGGTAGTAGGCTGTCAGTAATGGCTACGCCTCTCTATTTGGACTGGTAGATCTCGGTAGACTGGCAACTTTAAAAGTAGCTCTCGGTTCAAAAAAGGTTGGGCACCCCTGCGATAGAGTATGTATTATCATTATAGCATTACTATTTTGGCGATTAAATAAAATATAAATTATATTTGATGCAACTTTAGTTACATTTCCA